TACCAGGATTCGTCGTACTTCAAAGTTGGCCATGTGAGCTTCCACGATCAGTGGGTCGTTGTGAGGGTAGATGATACTTCTTTCTTCCTCAGGGTAGAAACATATTGGATCCCAGTTAGGCTTTTGATACTTGCCTCCCCTGATGTATTCCATGTGAAACACTTGGTGGCCAGACCTTAAAGCTCGTTTACTATTTTTCATGGCCCTGTTGGAAGATTTAGATATGGGTGTGCCACCACTTATGGAATATATCACATTCACCTGGCGTTGGTTACGTTACCCTTGGAGGGTGAAGAAGGAATTGGTCAATTTTTCCACGTGCCAAAGCTTTAATATGATCACGAAGGGTGATACACTTCTCGCCATCATGGCCGTTATGCTCATGGTAGCAGCAAAACGTACCCGTGTTCTTCGTGGGCTTGTAATCCGGGTGCCTCGGCTTTGGCTTCGGTATCAGATGTGCTATACTGGGGTAAATGGCCACGCATGTGGCGTTCAAATGTGTGTATGCCTCATACCTCGGGGTAGGGCATGTCCTGACACGTGCTTGACCCACTGTGTTGACTGCCTGGGGTCGGGGATTATCATGGCGATAACCTTGGTTATCACAGTAGTGTCCCTTACTCTTTTTACTAAAATGAGATTGGTGAGGATGGAAATGTTTCCTTTTGCCTTGAGATTAATATGTCTGTTGACTTGACAAAGTATTAATTAAGGCAGGGGGAGGCACCGCTGCCGTTTGGAAGGTTGAGGTCTTCTCATTTGGATGGGTCTGGCTTCCACTCCCCACTTGCTGATAGCGGATGGTTGTTGGGGGTTTCTCTTGGTATGTCCTTGCCTCAGCGGAGGCATGGTTATAAGCATCCTATGAGACAGATAAGGCAAGTGAAAACGATACCACACTTCGGTACTTAGAAGTTTCGTGATTACTCAGCGGCTTGGATCTTGCAAGTCCCCAACCGAGGACCTTCCCTCACTCGGGAACTTAGAGGAGCACTGTTTGTACCATACTTGACCAATCCCGAAACTACTGAGCACCGGTCAACTTTATACCATCAAGGTCCCAGAACAGTTTTCCCTCCAACTAGGAGGCCAATCACAACACGACACGTGTCGACATCAGAAGCCAATCATAGTGCGACACATGTCAATATCAGAAGCCAATCACAACACGACACGTGTCAATGTCAAAACAAAGCTAGAAACTCTCTTATATAAAAGGAGATCATTCTCCCATAATATTTTCTAATGTCATTTGTACTAAATCATTCACTAGTACTCACTAAACGAGAGCTTGAACTTATGTACTTGTGTAAACCCTTCACAATTAATGAGAACTCCTCTACTATGTGGACGTAGCAAATCTGGGTGAACCACGTACATCTTGTGTTCACTTCCCTGTCTCTATCTATTTACATACTTATCCACACTAGTGACCGGAGCAATCTAGCGAAGGTCACAAACTTAACACTTTCTATTGTATCAAAGTCCTCACTGATTTTGTGCATAAACACTACCCTCTCTCGCACACCCTCTTCAAGCTTCCACCAAAAACCTTAGCGATTCTCGTTCCTTTTCAACGAACCCAAATCGAAATTGGGATCTGTTAAGCCCTAATTGCAACAATCTCACGACATCGCGAGCTCCATCTGCTGAAACTATGAGTATTTCTTGCTTTTCGCGTTAAATTTAACCACTTCGAGAGCTCAAAAAATCTCGGTCTGGTTCATCGGAGGGGGTTTCGAATCGGTGTAGTTGTATTCACTAAGATCAAGTGTGAAATCAGGACACGTGGACTGTGGATCGAGGCATGGGTCTAAGGTTAAGGCTTTTGAGCTTGTCGGATGGAACGGTCGAGGTGGTTCTCCTCCGTCTTCCTTCATTTTTCTGCGAGCTTTGTTCATGGTTTTGTCTAGAAGACTGGAACTGTTAATCAATAGCATGATAGAATAAAAATAATAAAATGAAGGGAAAAGTCAAGGCCAAAGTTATTTAGAATATTGTTATCCACATATTCATTTTTGTTTTTCACACGTTTTTTTCAAATTTTAGCTATCGGATCGAATGAATTGAAGAAGATTAATGACCAAATGTTAACAATATTGTACTAATGAAAGCTATTTAAGTCTAAAATATTTAAATTGAAGTAGTTTGTCATACAAATTAATATTTAAGATAAAGTTTATAAATATTTTTCTTTTAAAAATAAAGTATATTTAGTAATTCACCTTTATTTGTTAAGAAAATTAAATTAATAGCACATATAGTATTATACCCTTTTTGATCATTTCACACAATCACAACTATTTTACATAAAGGTTTACCAAACACTATCATACTGCTTTTTTTTTTTTCCAAAAGCACGTTTACAAAAAAGTTTACCAAATACTCTTCTGCTTTATTTCACTGTTGCTTATTCTCACAGCATAACAAAAGTATATTTTTTTTCAAAGCACAGTAATACCAAACTAATCCTTAGTCTCAGATATTTTGTAATTTTGTTCCACTTTGAGGTGACAACTGTGCACCCAACGACCTTTCAAATTCACAGAAAACATGACCAGGCGCTGTGTGAACAAAATGATAGCAAAAACCCAAAAAATAACACAAGTGTACCGTGAAAGGAACACATGCAGCTCCACGTTGGCTTCATCTTCATTTGATGAATAGTAAGTATGACTGTGGATGTGTGAATGGTGGTCACGGATTTTGACAGCTTCATTTTGGACCACAAATTCTCTTTAATACATTAAATTGGCTGTATTAAATTATGAATGTTCCCCATGGTATTAATTATGAGTATGAAAGTTCAAATAGGAAGACTTTCTTTTCTCGTCATTAAAAAAAAAAAACTCGAGAAAAAGAAAATTCTTGTAGTTAACATCAAGAAGTTGATCACAATAAATATTATAGTGGGTTTTGATTTCTTGTTGGAAAAATTATAGTGGGTCTTGGTCAAATATTTCTTTATACTTAATAGAAGTGTTATTGGCACTCTAAAAAAACTTATTTACTTCTCACAAGTATATTTTTCATTTCAAATATAGAAAGTTTGAAGTGAATAATAAGATTTTTAGATTGCCAATAACAATTCTCTATATACTTAATTCTCATGTTTACACAAGCATAATGCACACTTGTGTCACATATGGCACATTTTATACGATTACCATTTTTTTTTAAGTTATGAATTGCCCTAATAGTTAGTAAATTATTTTTAATTGATGGCGTCCTCAATTCAAACAAAACATGTTTTATTTTATTCCTTTTTCTAAATTTTACTATAAATACAAAAAAAACTATGAATACTGATAAAAACAAGTTACATTATGTATCATTTTAATGAATGACAAAATTATAGTTAAATGAATTTAGCTAAAATAGTTTCTGACATTGACATAATTCCTAACTTTAATTCCTAACATTGAAAATCGATAATAATGGTCCCTGAGTTTGTCAACCGTCAACTATTTAGTACATCAAGTTTTTTCATCTAGAGTGATACCCGAAGTCAAAATTTTGGGATAGTTTCATATATTCGTTAAGATTACTGTTAAATCAATTGTTAACTGATGACGTGAATGATTGGGCGCCATGTGGATATTAAAAAATTATAAAAATTAAAAAAAAAAATTGGGTTCTTCACTCTTCCTCCGCACCCAGTGCTTCCCCTCCATCTTCAACTCTTGCACATCCACCCTCTTCCTCCTCCCTCCTCTGCACCCAATGCTTCCCCTCCCTCTTCTACTCCTGCACATCCACCCTAGCTGCTCCAACTGACAAAACCCCACAACCACCATAACCGCCTCTCTCAAACGACGTTAAATGAGCATGTGGGTACTTAAATCCCATTACATTTCCGCTACTCCCTCTCCATCCAACATTCATTCTCAGACATTTTAACAAACATGAACCAATCAAACCATATGGGTACTTAAATCCGAAGCCAGAGAACAAAATTTTAGAACAAAGCAATGAAATTTACCGCAGTAACAAGCGGTAACTTTGGCGAAATTAGCAGCATCGGTAACGCAACTGGTCGGGAGACCCATGACTTTTCGATGCTTGGAGACCAATCCAGCTCCTCCACCAAGAATCCCAACTAGGAGAGTGGGGAAGACAATGCGCTCTTTCGAAGACGACGGCGGCGGCTCTGCTTCTACGGCTTTGGGATTGTCGGAAGCCATGATTGTAATGAAATCCGTGGAATTATATAATATGCATATAAAATAAATAATAAATATAAAAAAATATCCTAAAAAATGAAAAGTCAGAAGTAGATTTTTTACTTGTGCTTGGAAGACTGTTATGGGTAGGGCCACGGTCCGGTTCGGTTAGGTACCACCCACAAACGGTATTGGAATCGGAAAATTTCAACGGTTCAGTTGGATGCAGTTCTGTTTAAATTTATTACTAAAATTGTATGGTTAGGTTCTTGATGATTTCGGTTCGGTTCATGCTGGTTAACAATTCTAACCAAAATTATATATATATATTTTAATATTCTACTTCTAATATCAAACACATATTTCAACCACAAATTCAAGTAAATTTGAGTTTTCACTAATAAATCTACAAGATTTGTGACAAGAAGATAGAAAGTATGCATATAAATATAAATAAAAAAATAAAAAGGCTCATATCAAGACCAAAGTGTAGATCTTAAACAAAATCTAAATGTACATAATGCATAATATATTGGAAAATAATGGAGAAAAATAATGTAGGGGAGAAAAGTGATAAAACAACAAAGGGGGAGAGTAGTGAAGAAAAATATTGGGCTTATGCACATGGTCTTCTTGGAAAAATGTCTTATTTATATAAAAATAATAAGAAAACAATCATTTATATTAAAAATAGTTCGGTCCGGTTTCTCCGGTTCTTAATATTTCCAAACCGGAACTGGAATCGTTTGAAACGGTTCGGTTCAGTTTTTGTTCCGGTTTTGAATTTCTTGGTCAACGTGGTTTTTTACAGTTTCTTTTTGTCACCATTCGATTCAGTTTTTCGATTTGACGATTTTTATACCCACCCCTAGTTCTGGGAAGACAGAAGTCTACCTTAGACTTTAAGAGAAACAGCATATGCAGATGCATACGTACAGTCTAAACTGTTGAAAGCTAAAGCTTCAACGAATTTTGGCTATTCAGGTATCTAAAAATGCTATCTTCTTCCACTCAATTTCTTCTGGAAAATATTACTGTTTAAGGCTGATTTTATTTTATTTTAACTTTTTGTGTACTTTTATGTTCTGCATGTGGTTTGCTTCACCAACTTGTTCATATAAATATTTGGTATTTTATACTGTTTGGGAATACGGATTCCTGGCTTGATTTGGTATTGATGGTAGTTTAGTACACTGATTAGCCGTTCAAAATTGGAGTTTTGAGTAAAACCCATTTAAAAATTGTTCTTCTCGTTCTCATTTGGGTATTAATTTTAATTTTTAGAAACCACGTGGTCTAAGCCATTATTCAATAGGATTTCGATTGGTTTTATTTATTTATTTTTGTTAATAGGAGTTTTGAGTAAAACCTCATGTTCAAGCTTGTTCTTTTGATTCCATTTGCGTATCAATTTCAAGAATCCAAGACAATATTAAAGTGGAATTTTAATTGGGTTTTTGCTGCAAAATCTTGGTGTTCAAGGTAAAATATATAATCTGGATTATCTTCTGAGAATTTTGGAACCCATAATGTTAATCTTCAATCTGCCATTCTTTACAGGTCCTTGTTATATTTGACCGGCAGGTGCAGAGATTTCTGTAGGCATGGAGGTATTGCTGATGAATAGGCCTACTGACCATGTATGCAAGACAACACTGTTTGCGTTGATCTTGTGTATGTGGGTGTCCATGCAAGTGATGGCTGGAACAGAAAATGCCACGCATTTGTCTGCAAGGCCAAGTTCTCTGAATATTGGAGCTCTGTTTACTTTCAATTCGGTTATTGGGAGGGCAGCCAAGCCGGCAATTTTAGCTGCAATTGATGATGTCAATTCTGATCAAAGCATTCTTCGCGGGACAAAATTGAACATTATTCTCCATGACACGAATTGCAGTGAATTTCTTGGAACTGTTGAAGGTATTTCCTTCAACTTGATTCTAAAGCATGTATGGAACTACAACCTGCTTCTTTTATAGTCTACTACTAGTAAATATGCCGGCGCACGTTGTTGCGGGACTTGAATGCACTAGTCTTAACTGCATGAATAAGACATATTTAATCTGAATAAATTAAACATAATCCTGAATGATCAGAGGGATAGATGAACGAGATCGGTAAGATAAGTAGCTTGATTTTTATATACATTTCAAAAGATATTACACTTGAAAATCATCAATTAATTATCAATTAAAAATAATATTCATTAAACCTACAATAGTATAAATCTATTCAACAGAAGTTAAGAGAACTAATAATGAATTTTGATCTACTATTTTATTTGTATATTCAATTTTTAAATTCAGTGTTTATAAAATATGTTCAATGGATTTAAAACACCCAACTCTATTAAATTCAGTATTACCTCCATCAAGTTCATTTTCAGAGATCCATCAGTCCCTCTCAAAAATCCTACTTCAACCACACTATAAAATGCACTATTCCAATTTTTTTCAAAAATGATATTCTAAGAAGTTAAATGCTTGAAGAACCTAAGAAGAAGATAATATATAAATTTATACTAAATTGTAATATTAAATCTACATATACTAAAGTAAAGTTATCGTAAATGCCCAAAAAGAAATCTAAACAAAAAATTGAAACTAAAAACCAAATGGTTATCAAACAGCTCCTAACACACATTTTGGATTTATTAAATGAAGTTTTTCAAGACCTTCAACCAAGTGAAACTAATATACAAATACAATGCATATATAGGGATTGTCCAAAGATTACTGAAAACTATATGCTTAGCAATTAGGAACACAGTAAGTTAACAGTGAAAAATATTATTGGAATTATTGTATACTTTTGCTTTCCATGTACACTGAAAGCTCTCTCCCTATATACTCCCTACCTCTCTCATAATATCAAAACTCTCAAACCCAATTCAATGCCTCATCAGAACCCATACAGAGTCTAATTAAATTTTTACCCAAACAAAGAATTCAATTTGTAATATTTTAAAATTGAAGAAAACAAATCCCACAGCTTTGGAAGGAAAAAATAAAAAAAAATAAATAAATAAAGAACTCCCAGATGCAGGATTCAAAGAACTTACCACAAAACATTAGTCTTTTTGGCTAAAAATCATCTTCAATCCAAATCAAAAAGCTGAAGAAGCTTGACCTGCTTCGGTTTTTTTAGCAAGCCAAGATTTGTGAGGGACAGAAAAACCTAAAAATATCCCAAACGATCCCAAATTTTGGAACTGCTTTAAACCAACCTGCCATGAAATTATAGCTGCTTGAGAAATCTTCTTCAAATCAAAATGGAAGAGGCAGCACAGACTGCCTTTCTTGAATTTAAAAATGATATCAAATTTCAATATCCTTCGCTTTGAATTAGAGATTAAGTAAAAAAAAGAAAAAATTACCCACAAATCATCTACATATTCATAATTATGCATGAAAAGTACAAATTCGAAAGCAAAAATTAAATCACTTACATGGCAAGTCTTCAGCAAGAATAGCATTTCTGCAAAACCCAGAATAATATTAATCAGAGAGTAACACTGAAAATAAATAAAAAACACCAAAAAATTTGAAATTTTTGTACCTCAAGTTTGTGGGTTTTTGCCACCCCCCCAGGGCGCCGCGGCATTCCAGATGCTTGCTTTCTTGTTTTCCTTTTTCTAGTCCCCTGTCTCTCTTGAACCATTCGCAAATATGAAAAACATAAACAATTAAGTCAGCAACATGATATGACATCCCTTTCATACAAACACAGATTTGCAATTCATATATGCCACATTATTTGCAAACAATTACAAATTGAGAAACATTAAATCATCATCATGAATCACAGTGTAACATGAACACCATCAATTACATCGACAAAACATGCACACATCTGTGTTTTAATGCTCCAACTCAATGAGAAGGCAACAGGCAAGTGCTCCAAGAGCGAGTCAACAAAACACACACTTTTCAAAGCCACAAAGGCAAGTGCTCTCTTCTCTTCCATTTTTTTTTTCAAACAACTTGCAACAGTTGTCCCCTCCAACTTCTCCACCATTCGGCTTTCTTTTATTTTTGAAAGAAAAGTTCCACTTGCTCCAAAGGTAAATGGGTGGAATACAAAGCAAGAATTGTTCAGAAAAAGCACCGTGGATTATGATAGTATAAAACAATTGAAAGATACCACGTAATAATCAAATAAACTGCAAATGAAGACTGTCAATTCTGACTTCCCTCTCACGTCATGCAAATAAACTGTTATATGGAAACTGTGCACATGAAGACTTTAAGCAATTTCTCCTCCTTCTTTAGACTAAAGTAATGTTGCAGTTTCCTTCAGTTTTGGGGAGTGGAAATTTGGAAAAACAAGATCCTACTAAATAAGAAACCAGCTTTTAGAGCAAGCTGCTACTGATTTCATTTATCAAAATGTTCTTGTTTGCACATTTTGTTTCTTGCTGGTGTTTTGATTTTTTTTTTCCTGGTAAAAGCTCTAAGCCCGTACTATTATTGCTACCAATGCTAGATGACCAGAGTCTCGAAATACTAGTCCATGGTTCTATGTATTTGCATTATGATCTGTAAATTGGTTGTTTTGTATGATTCTTCCTGCTTGAGCACTGCATTTCGAATATTGATGGCATTACCATGTCCTTGTGTCAGAACGGATAATTTATAAATATTTTTGTTATCCATACCTCGCTCTGTCTTAAAACTAAAAATTAAAGTGATGTCTTTCTCGTTGCAGCTATGGAGCTGATTAACAACGACGTGGTTGCTGCAGTCGGCCCACAATCCTCTGGAATAGCTCATGTCATATCCCATGTTGTTAATGAGCTCCATGTACCACTTCTATCATTTGGAGCAACAGACCCCTCCCTTGCTGCTCTCAAATACCCATATTTTGTCCGAACCACACAGAGTGACTATTTCCAAATGTATGCAGTTGCTGATTTAGTTGAGTATTTTGGATGGAGAGAAGTAATAGCAATCTTTGTAGATGATGATTATGGCCGAAATGGGATTTCTATACTAGCCGATGCCTTGGCAGTGAAGCGTTCTAAGATCTCATACAAGGCTGCCTTCTCTCCTGGAGCCCTCAAAAGCGATATCAATGAATTGTTGATGGGAGTGAACCTCATGGAATCTCGGGTTTATATTGTACATGTTCATCCCGACTCCGGTTTAACTATTTTTTCCATTGCCAAGGCACTTGGAATGATGACCAGTGGCTATGTCTGGATTGCGACGGATTGGCTTCCTTCCTATTTAGATTCACTAAATCCCCCTGGCCCTGACACAACGAATCTCTTACAAGGGGTTGTTGCTCTCCGTCATCATACCCCAGATACTGATCTGAAAAAGCGCTTTATGTCTAGATGGAGCAAATTGAAACATGAAGGGACTCCAAGCTTCAATTCTTATGCGCTTTATGCATACGACTCTATTTGGCTAGCAGCCCGTGCTCTTGATGTTTTCTTCAACGAAGGTGGGAATGTATCTTTCTCTAATTACCCAAGGTTGAAAGACACAAATCGAAGCACACTGCATTTAACATCACTCCGCATTTTTTATGGAGGCCAAAAATATCTACAGACGATTCTTAAGATGAACTTCACAGGTATAAGCGGTCAGATTGAGTTTGATCAAGATAAATATCTAGTTCGTCCAGCGTATGACATTCTGAATATTGGAGGAACTGGTTCTCGTAGAGTTGGCTATTGGTCAAATTCTACTGGTCTCTCGGTCATTGCTCCAGAGATATTATATAAGAAGCCATTCAATAGGAATACGACTGCTCAACTTTATAGTGTAATATGGCCTGGTGAAGTTACAGCTACACCTCGGGGATGGGTATTTCCCAACAACGGCAGGCCACTGCGAATTGGAGTGCCTTATCGAGTAAGTTACAAAGATTTTGTGGCTAAAGACAAGAGCCCTGCAGGGGTCAGAGGATACTGTATTGATGTCTTTGAAGCTGCTGTAAACTTGTTGCCGTATGCTGTGCCACGTACGTATATGTTGTATGGAGATGGTAAGAGGAATCCTGAGTACAGCAGTCTTGTAGCCCAGGTTGCGCAAAATGTGAGTATCTAGGTTAAATTTTAGCATTTTGATTAGAGGTGAACAGAATCACCTTTATATACAGTTTTGTCTAACCAGAACTTTGATTTGCTCATTTCCTTTTTCTTTTTCAGAAATTTGATGCAGCTGTTGGAGATGTTACAATTACTAATAATAGGACAAGAATAGTTGATTTTACGCAGCCTTACATGGAATCGGGACTTGTTGTAGTTGTTCCTGTCAAAAAGGCAAAATCAAACCCTTGGGTTTTCCTCAAGCCGTTTACTTACCAGATGTGGTTGGTCACCGGTGCCTTCTTCCTTTTTGTGGGAGCTGTTGTTTGGATTCTTGAGCACCGGTTCAATCATGAGTTCCGTGGTCCACCAAGCCAACAGCTCATAACCATTTTTTGGTTAGTATGTCTTACATCATTATGGCCGTTGATAAGTGCCTATACAAGTACTTTTACTGATACCGCTTTTGATTTGCAGGTTTAGTTTCTCCACAATGTTTTTCTCACACAGTATGTACTTCACGCTTGATCTTCCTGTATCTCGTGAATGCAACTCGTAATATTAACTACTTATATCCTTTGCGACTTGGACTTGGTGCAGGAGAGAACACTGTGAGCACCCTGGGACGGCTGGTGGTGATTATATGGTTATTTGTAGTGTTAATTATCAATTCTAGCTACACTGCTAGTTTGACTTCAATTCTTACAGTGCAACAGCTGACGTCACGGATTGAAGGGATTGATAGCTTGATATCAAGTAATGATCGAATCGGAGTTCAAGACGGGTCATTTGCTTGGAGGTATTTGGTTGATGAGATGAACATAGCGGAATCTAGACTTGTTAAGTTGAAAGACATGGAAGCCTATATTAAAGCCCTTACGGATGGACCAAGACGTGGTGGGGTAGCTGCCATCGTTGATGAGCTTCCTTACATTGAGTTGTTCATGTCCAGCACCAAATGTGCATTCAGGACTGTAGGGCTGGAGTTTACCAAAAGCGGATGGGGATTCGTAAGTATTTATACATTTAGATTTGAGAAAATGAATACTCTGACCATGAAATGCCGATCTTCAACCTCACTGCCTTTATTATTTTTCTTATGGATGCCTTACACAGGAAAAAATAACATTATCGTTAAAAATTAAGTGTTTCGGTTTTTAATTTTATTGAATGATGCATTTGTCAGTTAGGAATTCACAAGACAGCCACCACATTGTTTTGTACTCTCATATTTAGTTTCCTTGTCTCAGGCCTTCCAAAAGGATTCTCCTCTTGCTGTTGACTTGTCGACAGCGATTCTTCAACTTTCAGAGAACGGTGATCTACAAAAGATCCATGATAAGTGGTTTAAGCATAACGAGTGCCCTACTCAACTCAATGACGTTGATGCAGACCTGCAGCTATCTCTAACAAGCTTTTGGGGCCTGTTTCTTATCTGCGGTATTGCATGCTTCCTTGCTCTTGCGGTGTTCTTCTGTAGAATCCTTTGTCAATACCGCAGATTTACCCCAGAGCCTGTGGAAGCGGACGCTGAGGAGATTGGACCTACCAACACGAGATCTAGACGCTCACTTGGGTCAACCAGTTTCAAGGGTCTTATGGTCTTTGTAGATAAGAAAGAAGCAGAGATAAAGCACATGCTGAAGCGAAAGACTAGTGATAGTAAGCACGAAGCTAGCCCGAGCGCTGATGGGCAGCTGCATTCCCTTCGTGAGGAAGATTTGCCTTCGGCGGGTTGATTCTGCAGTGCTCCCTCAGCACTCGGTTAATTAAATTTTATCTTATACTAATTATATCCAATCCCTGTGCCATAAGCTACGTATATAGAATAACATTATATGGTTTATAGAAAGAAAAGAAAAATTATGAAAATATTTGCTAGTTTTAGACTATTTTGTATCTTAAACAATAATGCTCTTGCTCCCTATTTTAACTGAAGGACGGAGGTCCATAAATTGTAGATTAATCTTTCTATGGTTTACTCTACTGTAAATTCTAGTGTACGGGAATGAAGATTCAAATTCAAATGTCAGAAGGCAGGCTGCGCTAATTAATTGGACTAACCCACGTTTCACCTTCCCCTCAAACTTGAATGAAGGAACATGTGTATTACTTTCATCATCCAAGTTTACTTTTATTTTCGTAAGTTGTATTTTTATTTTATTTTCTCACGTTAGTCATGACAACGACACATGAATTGAAATTGGAACATCCTAACATGCCGTTTATCATACTATTAATTCCATCAAGAAAACGAGTTGGAAGTCTACCTCAATCATCTGAGGTTGATGGTGCTACAAGGTTATATTATTTTGGAATTTGGAGTGTACTAATTTAAGATGTATATAATAATAATAATAATAATAATAATAATAATAATAATAATAATAATAATAATAATAATAATATCTGAAATGCTAAGTGACCTACCTGTATTTTAAAGTCTGAAAACCCATAAACCAGATTAATTAGTCCCGATTTATGATTTCCTTCATTACAAATAAGTAATTATGTTATGATTTTGACAAACATTTTTTAGCCTTTCGGATATATATTTTTTATTTATGGTCATCCAATTGTACAAATCTGACGAAAACAAGAACATAATTAAACATGAGTGTAAGAAAAGATGTGTGTTTATTATTTCTTCATGATTATTTGACCGACGTGCATAATTCCAAATACTGTAGTGAAAAGTATTTTTCAATTAACAAATACGAGATATTGGTGAGATATTTCAAAATTTAAAGCAATACCAACCACTAACTTCTTTTTCTTTGACAAAAAAAAAAAAAACTTTTTTTTTTTTTTTTTCTTTTGGTATCATCAATCATTTCCCTTACTAACTGTTTGGCGGTGGTTTTTTTTTTGGTCAAACAATTGTTGGGCAGTGTTTAATTATAGGTTTTTTTCTGTTAAAATGTTCATTGAGATTGATATAACTCCTCAATCTAATTCACTTGTTGCACGACTCTACAAAGCTCAGTCTTATCCTACCAATGAGTTTTTGCAGGCGTCTGTTAAGCCTAATTCCTCCTATTGTTGGCGTAGTGTGGCGGCATCTCGATTAATTATTGTTCAGGGAGCATGGTGGAGAGTGGAGGATGGCCTACAAATACGCATTTGGGGAGACAGTTGGTTGCCACGATAGAACTTGTATCGAGTTCTTAGCCCATTACCGAGTAGGGTGCACCCTATCTTTTACGATGAGATCTCTAATGGTGGAAGATGATGGTGTTCGGTGGAATTTGGCGTTCATGCGTAGTTGTTTTGTGGAAGAAGAAGCAGACCTCAATTTAAACATATTGTTGAGCTTATTTCATCCTGCCCGATTCGTTGATTTGGGCAAAAGATTCCAAGGGGTTATTCACAACGAATAGTGCGTATTTTGTGGCCAGATCGTGCCCAGGGATAGGTGGTGAGGAGCCCACGAGTTCAATGGTTAGCGAGAAAACAAAGTTCCTTTGGAAAGCACTGAAGGCAAAAGTTCCCGGGAAAGTTAAAATTTGTGTATGGCGTGGATGCATGAATGCGTTGCCTACCAAAGTAAATTTGAAGTTGAGACGGTGTACTTATAGAGGCTGTGGCTACTGTGATCAGGAAGAGGAGACGGTAGAACATGCCTTGTTCAAATGTTCTTGAGCGACAACTGTGTGGTTTGGAAGTCCATTGGGAATTAAATCTTTTACTGGTAGTGCAAACGGGTTTCAAGGGTGGCTGGAGTTCATGGCACAGGAAGTCTCTAAAGAAAGTTTTGAGTTGCTCTTTATCCTAGTTTGGAGTATTTGGAAAGTACGTAATGAATTTCTCTGGAATGGTATTGAGGTTTCTCCATTGGATATGACACGCCCCGACCCTGATAAGAATATCAGGATAGACACGTGCTGGCCGACACTCAAGGTGACGAAAGCCATTAATTGATTATAAGAGTAATGATTAGAAGGAAATATTCATGAATAACATCAGAATTTTAAGAGTAATTAACAACATTCAAGGAAGTGTCTAGAATGAACCAGACACAGTCTAAAACTAGATTTACAAAAAAAAGAAAGAACATTACAAGATATCACACAAGTGGGTGATAGAGTACTACTGGTAGGGGAATGCCTCGTACGTCCAGTCGTAGTCCTCGTTTCTATGACCTGAATGGGGGTGCAAAACAAAGGTGAGTGGACCAAGTTCATATGTACGATAATAATAAAATAGTTATCAAGATACTAACCCCCACAATTTATATAAATGAAAACTACTAGCATAATAAGTGATGGATTTAATAAAAATCCTAGCATGCCAAATATCTCAAAAATCATATCGCGGAAATCAAAACAGTAAACGCATCATAAATCATCTCGTAAGCGCGGTGTGCTGCTAGTAAGATCACCGAATAAATAAACTCCCGGCCCAATGCCTGCTCCGTGGTCTCTGCGCCCGTAGCCAGAGATTACCAACTCCCGGCCCAATACCTGCTCCATGTCCCTCAGCCCGTAGCTAGGGATTATTTCTCACAGTCTAAATGCCAACACCAGTTCCTCGCCCCAGGTGGCATAGTGTCTACTAGGTACGCACAAATATTTACGCATCTCATAAATAACCACTTCATATAGATTACCGATTATCGTCTACACTATAAAGAGGGGTTCAAAAACATGTTCTAGCATCCTATCGTCATCTATCAGATAGTCTACCAGTTCATGGTTTTATAGAAAATACGATATATTAAAATATAGCTCAATATAGGCTAACAATTATTTCCTCACCAAAACACGAGACGAAAATCAATATATTCAATCAACAGGCTTCACATAAATCAAATTATAAATCCGTAGGCATGCTAATCATTTATGCAATTAAATTATCAAATCATGTAATTTTAGAAGGGGTCCACTCACAAATATTCCTTAGCAGGAGAGTCGCGCGAATAAGGATAAAGAATTTATCCACTAGCAATTTTACCTAAGAACAAGAATGTAATAATTAAATAAAAGGATTTTCTAAAAGATTGGGTTAAACTAATAAAATAAGGGAATAGGGTTTGGATGGGTTTAGGGTTTGGAAAGGGGTTTGGGCTTAAGCCCAAACATATACTTAACAACACACACACACACATGCACGGCATGCATGTGCATGCCTAAACACACACACACAGGCACAAGGCCATAAGGCCTCACTAACAGAAAACGGGGCTTTAAGCCCTTGATTTATAACCGGCCCAAGCCCTTTGGGTTTTAAAAATTAAATAACTAAAAAGAAAAACTAAATGGGTTAGGGTACTGGGCCTAAGACAACACGGGCCTAAGGCCCGAGGGGAGGAAATGGGAGAGGTCGGATGGCCTGGTGCCAAGGAAGAAGAAGGCCGGAGCTGCTACAGCTCTGGTCACCTGAAAACGAGGGCTTCAAGCTCCGATCTAGGTACGACCATGAAGAACAAAGAAAAAGGAAGAGATTTATACCTTCCAAATACCGTAACTCGGTCGGAGGTGACCGGAAAAGCCCTCGGAGTGCACGAGTTCGCCGGAAAAATGGGTGTGCTCACCCCAAAACGTTTCCAAGGTCAAACCTACGTACAAAGAGGAGGTTCAAGCTTCTAAATCACAACTAAACATCAAGCTAGGTAGGAGAGTGAGAGATTTGAGACTTACCCCTGCTGAAAAAAGAAGAAAACTCGTCGGAGCTTTGCTCCGTGCCGTTTACCTCGCAGGGCAGGGGTCCCTGCTTCGTAGAGAGTCTCTCCTGGTGGTGCTAAGGTCCTCGCGAGTCCAGGGAGAGAGAGAGATACGAGAGTTTGAGGGAGAGAGATACACGGGAGAGTGAGAGAGCTTCGGGAGAGTTGAGAATGAGAGAGCTACGGGAAAGAGAGACAGAGAAGAAGAGAGTCACGGGGGTGGGGGGCAGAGAAAAGGAAAAGAAATGGAGTTTGATGATTGACACGTGGCAAATGGGGGTGGTAATAACAACTTTTCCAATTATTTTGGGGGTGGTTGTAACAATCTACCCCCCTTACAAAAATTTCGTCCTCGAAATTACAATTGACACGAAAAGAAAAGGATACTGGTTCTGCATTGATTCATCTGTCTCCCAAGTAGCTTCTTCGATTATGTGGTTCCTCCACAGTACCTTTACCAAATGAATAATCTTGTTCCGCAACACCTTATCATGCCTGTCAATGATAGCCACTGGTTCTTCTACATAGCTAACATCCGGATTTACTTCCAATTGCTCAATTTGGATGATATGATAAGGATCCGGTACATATTTCCGAAGCATGGAAACATGGAAAACGTTATGGATCTATGACAACTCCGGTGGTAGCTCCAACCTATAAGCAACTGCACCAATCCTCTCAATAATCTGATAAGGACCAACATATTGAGGACTCAGCTTTCCTCGCTTACCGAAACGAACAACACCCTTCCAAGGAGATAACTTCAAGAACACAAAGTCGCCCACTGCATACTCACGATCCTTGGAGTGTTTGTCCGCAATACTTTTCTGTCGGTCCTGAGCTGCTTTCAAGTTCGCCTTAATCAAACGGATATTAGCGTTGGTGGTATCCACAATCTCTGGTCCCACCAACGGCCTTTCTCCTGCCTCTGTCCAACATAATGGCATCATACACGCCTTCCCGTAAAGTGCTTCAAAAGGCGCCATACCAATACTCGAGTGATAACTATTATTATAAGCAAACTCCACCAGCGGCAAATAGTTATCCCAACTACCCTTCCACTGCAATACAGACACTCTTAACATGTCTTCTAAAGTCTGAATCGTCCGCTCGGACTGACCATCAGTTTGCGGATGATAAGCAGTGCTGAACAGTAATTAAGTACCCATAGCGGCATTAAAGGCTTTCCAGAACCTTGAAGTAAATCTAGGATCTCTGTCTGACACAATGGAGACGAGTACACCATACAGACGAACAATATTATCCACAAATAATTTCGCCAATTTCTCCAGTGAGTAAGTCTGTCGAACTAGTAAGAAATGAGCGGTCTTGGTAAGCCGATCAACAATTACCCAAATACCATCA